TTCAGGTATTTGAGGATTAAATAAAAATTATTTGAGGGTAAGCACTGTGTCAGAAACCAGGGATGAGAAGGATTACCACCATCGTTATTCCTGTATTCACAGCGCCCCAGTGAGCCCCGGATGGGACGTCCGCAGACACTAAGGAAGGTCAGGTGATATGGAGATTAATACAGGCAAGAAAGCATCCAGGGACCAGAGGGCCTGGGCAGATCAGGTTTCCAACAGGCAGCAGCCATCATATCTCGCCAGCCTGCCTGAGTCTCGCCGCCTCTGCCCAGCTCTGCTCCTGCGCTTCCAGTTGGAGGGCCAGCCTCCTTGCGGACCACGGACCCAGTCCCTGGCACTAGGAGACAGGACCCCCTTCAGGTTCTCCCCTACCACCGCATAGGGCCCTACTTCTGGGCGACAGGAAGGAAGTACCACTGTAAAAGAGCTCCCTTTTAGCTCCATTTCAATGCTAGGAATATTTATTGAAGGTACTTGGGGCCAAGTATGGAGGACAGAAGCACACAAAAATGGGCACAGTCCTTGCCCTCAAGAGCTTAAATTCTTAATATGAGAGCACAAATAACTGCTCAAATAATAATTTAATGAGAAGGTATGTGTTGCCTAGCACACAGTAGATGTTCAGAACATTTACTGTGCTAATATACATTGAATAGGTTTTGCAGACTTAACCAATAAAAATACACACCACCCAGGTTTCCGTCGGTTAAACGTCTGCTCTTGGCTAAGGTCATGATCTCAGGGTCCTGGGATGGAGCCCCACGTCTAGCTCTTTGCTCAGCAGGAAGTCTGCTTCTCACTCTCCCTCGGTGCCCTCCCTCCCTCTCTCAAATAAATAAGATCTTAAAAATTGAATACACAACACCCAGTTAAATGTGAATTCCAAACAAACAACAAATAACTTCCCAGCATGAATATTCCTGGCTTTCATCTCCTGACTTGATCAGATTGTACTTCGTGAATATGCGATACATATACTAAAAAGTTACTTGTTGTTCCCTTGAAATTAACATGTACCTGGGAGTCCTGTATTTTACCCACATATTGAGCAATAGGGTCACAGAGGTAAATAAGACAAGAATCTTAACCTCTGGAACTTATGGCATAGTAGGGGTATTTATACAAGAGCTTAATACATATCCTCATTAGCACCAGAAGTTTCTGTAGGAACATTAGACATGAAATTCTGATCGACACATCCAAACTGTAATTGGGAGCAAAGGCAGTAGGGGAAGTGATTGGGGGAGAGGGTGCAGCAGCACTGAATATTCCAGAGGAATGGTGGGAGACACGACAGACACACCTGAGGTGCAGAAAGGCTCATATATGATCAGAGCACAGTGAGCGAGCATGTTGGGAGCTGAAGCTGGAGAGGCAGACGGGGGCGCAGAGCATAGGGGGGCCTGGAAGGCCATGTCCAGGTGTTGGGACTGTATCTGAGGGTATCTGAAGCCTTTGAAGGGTTTTAAAGCTATGATCCTTCTGGCCATTTGAGGCAAGATGCACTGAATGTTGGCTAGAGAACACTGGAGAGGCCAGAAGGAAAGCTGTGGCAGTAATTCAGGTGAGACCATGGTGGGTGTTGAGATGCTAGTGGCAGTGGGCTCATGAGAAAACATAAGTGCATTCGTTGTATGGGAGTAAACTCAGCACAATTTTGTGGGGGTACTAAGGAGTTAAAGATGATACTCAGGCTAACTCTGGAGCCACTGGAGGGATGGTGTCCTCACCTCCTGTAAGGTGGTGGGAGGAGGAGGACCTAGAGCAGGGTGTGATAGTAAGAGGGCAGATGAGCAGTCAGTCTGGGCCATGCAGAAATGAAGATGCCCTTCAGTCACGCGGTGGACAGCTCCACGCGGAAGCTGGCTCTGTGGGCCTGGAGCTCCAGAGAGCTGCCTGCCCTAGAGCTATGGGTCTGCGTCCATCAGCACGCACACAGCAAGGAAAGCCAAGGGAAGAGTGGTGAATGGGGGAGGGAGTTTGCCGGGGGACAGTGTGTGAGGTGAGATGGAGTCTGGGGCAGAGTCTGAAAAATTCCAATAGCTAAGAGGTGGGAACCAAGAGGTGGCAACTGCCAAAGAACAGGAACACAGCAAAGAAACAGGAAGAGAAACCGGATGGTGTCCCAACAGAAAAGCCAGCAGAAGCAAATGCTTCTAAAAGGAGGGAGGGGTCAAGAGCACTAAACAGGTTGAAGATGTTAACCGAAGACTAACGTGTCTGCTGGAATTAGTGACAGGCCCTGTCTTTGGTGAGGGGCAGGGTACGAAGCATACGTGGGAGCAGTTCAGGGATAAAATTGGGATGAGAAACTGAAGCAGTGGGTGAGGACAACCAGTTCACGATGTCTGGGTATGAAGGAAGAGAGATATGGGCCCATAGTTAGATGGTGGAGGAAACCCAGTCATGTTCAAATGCTGTTTGGGAGAAAAGCCGGTAGTAGGAGATACTCAAGTCACAGAAGAGTGAAGAAGGCCCAGGTGGAGAAAGGAGAAAGGTCTAGATGATGCTGTAAGCCCATGCATTTCTGCCTTCTAGTTCCTTTATAAAGTAAGAATATTTACTATTTACTAAATCGCTACCATCTATTAATCCCTTACCACGAACACTTAATCCGTTTATAATTCTACATTGGATTAATGCGTGAATCCCCAGTGCCTAGCAGTGCTAGGTGCACATACCACATATGTCTGAGTATGAGGAAATCCTCCTCCTCCAATAGGAAATTGAAGAAAAATTTTTTTGGCCAAATTGAACATGAGAGCTTTCACCACTGCAAATGAAACACTCAAATGCCTGATTCTTCCTTACTTATCTACACCACATGTAGAGACAGTTTGTCTAGTCACACATTTTAAGGACTCCGCTGATCCACACCCATTTCGGCACCGAAACAGGGAATGTCCTCAGACTAATATTTTATTCAACGACACGCTGGGCACATCCTGGCATTGACAGCTGGCACGTTCTCGGTGTGCAACGAGAGAACCTGGAAGTCTTAGCCCCAGGCCAAAGCACCCACACCCCAAATATCCCTGATTCCCCCACAACTGCCACTGGGGGAGTTTTCCCTCCAATTCATAAAGATACCTCTGCCCACCAAATCGTCTAGGCCCCAAACCGTGGTGCTGTTCTTGACCCCTCACTTGCTTTCACACCTCCCTTCTACAAACACCTTGAGACAACCTCACCGCTGCTTTGTCAGCCACCTTCCTCATCTCCCTGTACTCCTGTGGCCACCGCCTCCCCAGTCTCTGCTTCTGCATTCCCTGCTATGGTCTCTTCTCCACATGCAGCCAGAAGATTCCTCTTTAAACCCAGGCTGGGTCTTGTCACTCATTACCTCCAACGCTCCCATCTCAGCTACAGAAAAGCCCCAGATCTGCCCTCCACAGCCCCTTGCTGACACGCTGCCTCACAACGGCCCCCTTGCTCCAGTGGCTCAGTGTCACACACCGACCAGCTCCCACCTGAGAGCCTCTGAACTGACTCCCTCCAGGAACGCTCTTCCCCCACCTGGTCAACAGGCTTGTCCCTTATCTCATTCAGGTCTCAGTTCAAACGTCACTTTCCTGACCTGTCTTGGATGACAAGGGATTTCAAAGGACAGCCACCGTGTGTAATGTCAACCTGGAGGAAAGGCAGGCACAAATGGTGACTTCCTGATGTGCAACCAGAGCGCACGACTATATTGGAACTTAGCCAAAGGTGGCGGAGGTATGAAGGTGGGGGTAAGAGGACGCATATCACTGGCTTGAGTACTTACTGGTACCCTCCGCAGTGAGAGGTAATGACGCAGAAGAGGGAGAGGCATAGAGGGAGGAAACTGGAGATGCAGAGCTCAGTTTGGGCCACGGTAAATCTAAGATTCCTACAGGACTGGGATTGAAGGGCTACGCCCAGGAGGCAGTTCTGGTAGCCCAGGGCCACAAGGAGTATAAGCCAGGCCGCAGGCGCCGCGCCAGGCTTGTGCTGCTTCTTGAATCCCTGTATCAAGAGGCAGCTATTCCTGGAAATGCACAACTAGATAAAAGCAATACTTCTACGTCTGTTTTAAATACACGTAATGAAAAGTAAGTAGACACCTGAGTAGTTCATTTGCAACAATAAAAGTTCTTAAGTCCAAATTGGCCAAAACACTTTTATGATTTCCTTCCTGACAAAAATGATTGACTTTCTATATTCAGGCATATAAGCTACTGACTAAGCACCTTTATGTGCCAGCACAGTACTGGGTACACATTCATCAATTGTGTAATTATAAACTGTAAGGATTAAGAAATGGTAGCAATTTTTTTTAAAAGATTTTATTTATTTTATTTGACAGAGATTACAAGCAGGCAGAGAGGCAGTCAGAGAGAGGAGGAAGCAGGCTCCCAGCTGAGCAGAGAGCCCGATGCAGGGCTCGATCCCAGGACCCTGGGATCATGACCTGAGCCAAAGGCAGAGGCTTTAACCCACTGAGCCACCCAGGTGCCCAAGAAATGGTAGCAATTTAATAAACAGTAAATATCTCCTCCTTTATAAAAACACTAGAAGCCAGAAAATTATTCCCATTTCATGGTAGGGAAACAGGTTCAGAAAGGGAAAGTATGTGCCCGAAGTCCCACAGCCAGAGGCAGAATGGAGAACTTGAGCATGCCATGACCTCAGATATGAATGCACGAGACCCTTTACTACGACACGTCGGGGCTGCCGCCAAGTCATCAGAATGGAGCCGAAGCCACATGTCTCAGTCAAGCCTTGCTTCAAGGAGCACGGTCATTTCTCACCTCATCGGCGCTCCCAGCCATGAGAAGGGAGGGTTGTGTTCGTTTTCCAGAGAGGACAAGCTTGGTGAGGCCCAGCCGGTGAAGTGTTGGAGCTAAAATCGGAGCCAGATGGAACTTGTGACGGACAAGCACCTCCCCTCAGAGCAACAATCTTCCGGAGCCCCCGAAGGCCCAGACTTCAGCAAAAGGTCGTTAATGAAAGCAGGAATTACAGCTTGCCAATTGGATAAATTAGGAAATTTATTTATATTTCACCATTTAAAAGCCAGAACATTAACAAATTTCACTTTCTGGAAAGTCATCTTATTAGAAATACATGAAGTGCACTTAATACAAGGAAATCAGTTTCTTGGTACCACCAGTGAAATGGACACACTCTCATCCATTCCCTCAAATGACAGCTTGGTCAAATTTCCCTCCAAACTTAGACCTCTCACTTCAGGGAGGTCAGAGTGAACTTTTTCCAGAAATGACAGTGAAGACACAGACCTTAACATTTGAGCCCTCCCAAACAGTATCACTTTAGAAAACATTACTTTGCCCCCAAAGGGCCCTGTCTTTGCTGGGAACAAGGTATCTGCAGCCCCTACTGGCAAGGGAGTACACACAGGCCCAAAGCACACGGTCACGTGCAACCTCAGCTACTGACCAGAGTAACTTTCCGTGCTCAGCGTAGAGAGGTCTGACACAAAAAAGTGAACCTAAAGCCACAGGCCTTTTGGTCAATCAAAGGTTCTGCTCCTACAGATTAAACTGACAGCTCGTAGCCCTGTATTTATTAATATTCGTGAAACATGGTGAACTTCACATTTCTTGAGCTATTAACAAAGCAAGCTTCCAGAAGACAGTTTCCATCAACAAGTGCTCAGAGGAGACGTGTTTCGCTTCTGAACAGTGTGTCTTGTCAAAAAGAGACAGCAGGCTGGGATACTAGATTTCCTATAACCTCTGCTTTAGAAGGCAGGTTTTCACACACTGATTTACACGCAGAAACCAGTTTCATAAGGAAACCATTTGTGATAGAAAAGCAATACTCAGTTTAATCTAAGTTACCAAATAAAAGATAAAATAACTATAGTATCCACTGGAGCCCCTAAACGTCTTCTTATTCATCTGAGGACTCCTTCTCGTGCTTCGAGGACAGAAACGTAAGCAGGCTCCCAAAGAGAGAGGTAAACATGACTCAGTCATTTGAAAACACAGCATTAGGCTGAAAATCAGAACCAAAAAGCTACGGCCCTCGCACTGCTCTTAGCTGACCCTCCTCCCCGCTTATGGATAATTGGAGTTTAACTTTCCTAACCTAGAAACACTTATTCTCACTAAAAATGTATGGTTACACCTTATCCTAAAAAGGCACCATGCAGGCATTTAAGACTGAACCAGTTAATTCTAAGGGTGTGCAGGAGTGGTGGGAAAATATCACTAATCAAAACTTCCAGCATCAGATCATGCTAAACCCAGAACATTCACCCTAACAGGCCTTCTGAAATGCTTCCCAAGAGGTAAAACTCCAGCTTTTGGCAACGAACAAGAATTCCCAGAGGACAAAAGGAGCTCTGTCAGCAACGACACACACACACACCTTGGGAACAAGGAGAGGAAATGCTGGTCTCATTTGTGCTATTCATGACCCAAGAAAGGTCCTGGCTGGCTCAGAGGACCTGGGAGATGAACACTAGATGAGAGGAACGTGTGTGAGACAAGGACAGGTGGAGAAGCTGGATTCTCCTCCGGAAGAGGAAGCAGAAGCTCCAGGAAGGAGCTGAGGAGCAGTCAGAGACCGGACACGTGACAGAATGAACAGGAGGGAAGATCCCAAAGGAAAGGACGGCTCTGACCTGGAGACCTCTTTTCCTGTCAGAAAGGACCCTATGCTAACACCACAGCTCACTTCCAGGTCCGTTGTACATTTAAGGTGTATGAGTCACATGTTCCACGCCTCACACACAATGGAAGCTCTGGAACAGGAGACGGACAGCAGAGATTGCTCACTGATCGATGATGGAACGCTGCAACACCTGATTCATCATATCCTCTTCGTCAACATCGTAATCCTGCAGGCAAAACACAGACACGCGGCTTCAGCATTGGTTACAGCTGCAAAGACTCACGTTCAGTAGGAGAAGCGGTGTAGCCCGGGGACGTTGGGCTCTAGAGGTGACCGACCCAGGGCCGATCCCGGCTCCAGGGTGCAATGCTAGCCGTAGAACTGGGGGCAAACTGCTCACTTGATCTCTCTGTGCCTCTGCTGCCCCAGCCTGACGATGAAAATCCTGATGGCTCCCTCAGACAGGGACTATGAGGACCAGAGGGCACGCGCATGAAGAGGGTCACAGGCCAAGTACTCAAAGGGGAGTACACTGGAGTCAAATTTGCCTTTTTGATTCAATGAGGCCAAATTATCTACTTGGGTAGAACTTGGGAACCTTATTCCTCTTCACAGCACTCACAAAAAGGACAGTTATTTTGAAGTCTGAACCTCAGACGCTCTCTTAGACTGAGAATAAATATTTTGTGACAACTTAGGAAAGAGTCACACTTTCATTCTCAGGTCCTGAAATACAGCCGTTAAGACTGAATACTACTCTAAGACCCTCACGACATGTATCTGTAAACAAACCGGCCGTTTACTTTGAAAAACAGGTGGCCAAATTCACCCATTACTATTATGCCAAGACAACAGTGGGTCCCTTCAAAACCGCTTAGCTTTTGGGAAAGGATACAAGCTGGATGAACACCTTTGGCGAGTGGATGTGTTTCGTCTGACCTCAAGTCCTTTAAAAAAAATATGTGATACTTCCTACGACATTCTGCCTTCCCAGCTTGCTGGGGCAGGTGGAGGAGACAGGCAGTACTATCCCTCTACCTCCACACGCTAACGATCAGCTGGACCGGACGGGCTGGATACCGAACAGCTTGCGAATGCTCATGAGGACCACTGCTGTTACGGGCCTGGTCCGCATGAGCATCTGACCTTTGGGATCCTAAGCCAGATTCCATAACAGGTAAAAAACTATACATACCAAAAGGAAGTAGGAAACATTTTTGGGAAAAAAACCCAGGGAGCAAGCTTTCACTATGTGTCACCGCAGATGACTGGCCAGTTCACCTTCTTAAATACGACACAACAAAGACTCTGGCCACTCACCGGGTTCGCGAGTACGGACCACACGGTTGCTGTTCCAGGGAACCCAATCACACCAGTGACAAAACTCAACAACGGGACCCACAGTTCTCCAGGTAAGAGAAGGGAGATCCTTGCGCTGGTCTCCCAAGGGAAGGATCAGGGCCCGGGCTCCAGACTCACCACAAAAGTATCGTAAGAAAACTGGTGCCGGCGCTGGATGTGCTCTATGAAGTTGGCGCTGCGGTAGTTGGGGTCCCCCCAGGGCATTGAGGCACATATCGGGCAAACCTTTCAACAAAGAAGCACAGTCTTAGGCACCTGACATTTGAGCTGACCTTAGCCCTCTGTGGCCTGTATCGGGCCTCCTTTCCTCCAGGACAGCTTTCCTGACAGGTGGGTTAGGGCCTGGCCACTCCTTAGTATGCATGTTTGTATCCCAGAGAACAGTCAGCCGCCTCCTCCGGTCAAATGACAGCTGAGACTGCATAAAGGCTTTAGGCATGACACCACCCTTTTCTGACCCTCTACTGTGACCAGGCCATGTGTCAGCCCAGTTGTGGCCTAAACTCTGGCCATCTGACCCAGCAGACAAAATGATCCAAAAGCACAAAGAAAACCCAGGAAATGACAAACCATATCTTGAGGAAGTAAAACACAGCCTTCTGTGCTGTTTTTACAAAGTCAAAGCTTAGAAGAAAGGGTTGAGGCTGAAAAGCCCTCATGTAAGAAGTCGATTTGGGCTTTGAAAACAGGGAGGGATCTGGAAGGACAAAGACAACATGAAAGGGTGCTCTGGCAGACAGGCATCGGCACAGAGGAGAGGCCAGGGGGCAGCAGGATAGGCCAACAGCCAGGTGATCAGTCTGCTTAGAACACAAAATCCAGATACGGACAGAGAGGAGCTGGGCCGGGAGGAGCAGCAGGCCTAAGTGGTCGGCTTGGAAATGGAACCTCACTGCTTACAAGGAAGATGGGGTGACAAAGGGGCTGGCAAGAGATCGGTCTGAAACGGTGGAAGACTCCTTTGTGGAAGGAGCTGGGCTGGAAGCCGCAGCTATGGGGCTGGAAGCTATGGGGCTTAGTCCAGAGACTAAGCAGGAGATGGCTTCCAATGGGAAGGGCTGAAACATTAACAGGTAAGGAGTCTGTAGATGGAAAGGAGACAGAACAGAGGGCCAACAGCTGGTGGAAGAGAGGCTTCAACAGAGACAAAAGAACCAGAGGGATTTCAGAAAGCCAAAAGAGGGGGAAGAAGAGAAAAGTAGGTTGCAGTACCAGAAACCACAGAGTACTCTAGCACTATCAAATTTCTGAGTGCCCTTAACCTTTAACCAAATTAACCCAGATCTAAGACAATATTTTATAAACACAGGCAAAGATGTGTTAAAAATTTATGTCTGGGGGCACCTGGATGGCTCAGTGGGTTAAGCCTTTGCCTTTGGCTCAGGTCATGATCCCAGGGTGCTGGGATCGAGTCCCGCATCGGGCTCTCTGCTCAGCTGGGAGCCTGCTTCCACCTCTCTCTCTGCCTGCCTCTCTGCCCACTTGTGATCTATGCCAGTCAAATAAATAAAATCTTTAAAAAAAAAATGTAGGGACGCCTGGGTGGCTCAGTTGGTTAAGCGGCTGCCTTCAGCTCAGGTCATGATCCCAGCGTCCTGGGATCGAGTGCCACAATGGGCTCCTTGCTCCGCAGGGAGTCTGCTTCTCCCTCTGCCACTCTGTCTGCCTGTGCTCACTCTCTCTCTCTCTGACAAATAAATAAATAAAAATCTTTTAAAAAAAAATTAAATTAAATTAAAAAAATGTATGTCTGCACTGTAAAACTTAGCGTGCAACAGAACAGAACTTCCAACCTAAAGAAAAGTGGGTAATACTTTGATGACCCGTCCCTTATCCCCAACACCTAGATTTTAGTTTGGCACACTTATTTTGGCAAAAAATGAGGTATTTGAAAGATAGACGTGCTATCTCACCCGGGTTCCAGTACTGGCTCTGCAGCTAACCAGCTCTGCAATACAGTCAAGCCACTTGGCTTGGACGGCACACAAACTTCTTCGTTTATTCCCTTCTAAAAACTACAGGGCAGGATGGCAGTAGGAAATGAATTCCAGCCTCTACACTTTACTTCACATCCGTTATCATTCTTATAATCATCAAAATAGTTAAGCTTGTCTGGCAAACTTTAACAGAAAATATGCAGTGGGGGCAGGTGGGTAGTGTGTCTCTTCACATTTGCTTTTGAGCGATCGGTCATTAAGAATCACAACTAAAGGGGCACCTGGGTGGCTCAGTGGGTTAAAGCCTCTGCCTTCGGCTCAGGTCATGATCTCGGGGTCCCGGGATCGAGCCCCGCATCCGGCTCTCTGCTCAGCCGGGAGCCTGCTTCCTCCTCTCTCTCTGCCTGCCTCTCTGCCTACTTGTGACCTGTCAAATAAATAAAATCTTTAAAAAAAAAAAAAGAATCACAACTAAAACATCTTGAAGGAAGAGCTGAAACCCTGGCTTCAGGTATTTTTCACAGAACATAACTCTTATCTTGCCCACTGTGGGCAAAGAAAGCGCACTGCGAAGCTACTCTGGCATCACAGAGAAATAGCAGGTTCGATGCCCATTTCAGGTTGGCATCTGCCTACAGAAATTTCCAAAGTCATCTATGTAATAAAGATATAAATGTTAGAAAGACAAATATTAGCATCAAGTGGTGAGGCTGTTTATTTTTGAGAACAATCAATTCTCTGTGAGTGATCTCTCATGAGAGGCTGGCAGGTCACCATAGTGTGGAGTTTTAGTTTTATATCAGGATGACCTCTATTAAATAAAAATGGCAAATGGCAACATAATGCATTTATCATATCCAAACGAATAAAATGCAAGAATGTAAAGAAATACTGGGAACTAATGATATCGAAGGGAGCCGGAAAACTAGGGGGAAGGGGCCAGAGAGACACTTTTTACCATGAATGGACTACACACAAAGAAAACATTTAAAAAATTGCGAAGATGGGGTGGGGGGTGCCTGGGTGGCTCAGTCAGTCAAGTGTCTGTCTGCCTTTGGCTCAGGTCATGATCCCAGGGTGCTGGGATCAAGCCCTCTCCCTCTCCCTCTGCAGCTCCCCCTGCTTGTGCATCCCCTCTCTATGTCAAATAAATAAATAAAATCTTAAGAAGAAAAAAAAATGCAAAGAGGTGACAGAAAGCAAGGACTCAATAAGTCAGCTGGGACCACAGAGAACATGACTCAGCAGAGGTGGAGGCTGAATCTGGAGGGGAGAAAAAAACGGGTTCAAAGAGCAGCAGCTGGAAAACAACAAGCTTGAAGGAAAAGATCAACTGAACATTATCTAGGGAGAGAACAGATCAAGTATTCCTCTCACCACGGAGCCAAGGAAGACGGGCATGTCTGCAGGAAAACAAGTCAGGCGTGGGTAGATAGTGAAGCTGAGGTAAGACAAGACACAGGGCAGGGTAAGCTGCAGGAGCAGGGGTAACTCTCACTTTTGGCTGGGCCCTCTGCTCAGTCCTCTGTGAGCCTGAGGATCCCGACAGAGCCAGACTTGGAAAGGAGCCTCTTCCTCAACACAAAAAGGAATGTTAAGGACAAGGAATAAGGGTTGCAAATTCAAGTGCTCACAGGGACCAGATTAGTAAGGCACATGAGCAAAGGAGGACAGATGTAAGCCCATCCCATCTAGAGGGGCAGCAACTACTCTAGGCCAGTTGGCTCTTGCCAGAACTTCCAGTTTCTCAAATGCAGAGTATCAAGACAGAGAATCTTCTGGTTTTTAAAGGTTAAAAGGGAAGGTAAAATGTGTATAGTCTAGACATATCCCATAGACTGCCAGTCTGTGACCTCAGGGGTAGATCAGAGAGCTCCTGAGACAGAAGGAGGAAGAGAGAAGAAAGGAATCCACACCTGATACTCTGAACTCAGTTAAAAGCAGGATTCAGTGTTGCCTGGAAAAGATGAGGACGGTTCATGCCAGGAACTTAATGCAAACAGAGTCCCCAGAACAGTTACCAGACAGCATGTGTGCCTAGCAGCAACAGGGCCTGGCTGAAAATGACTTACAGTGAGCCGAGCTTGCCAGGTTCCCTAGTGAGGAGTGTTGGGAAAAGCAGACAAGAGGGAATTTATCTGTCAAATCTGTCACAGCACAACAGTAAGAACTCAGGGAGCCCCATGTAAAAAGTGGCTGTACTAACTGGAATGTGACCTGGTAAGACTAGAGAAGACCTAATGTATTCTCAAAAAGGTCAGGTGTATCTTAAAATTTGCAAAAAAAAAACCCCAAAAACAAACAAACAAACAAAAAGAATGCCACCAGGCCTAATCCTATTCACAAAAGCTCATGCACATTCTAAAGTCCATGCATCACCTTTTAAGGCAAGGGAGCTGAAGTGTGACCAAAGAACTAAGTATACAGTTCAGGAGAACAGTCTGAGATAAATGGAAAACTGAAAAAAACTATGGAGGAGGCTGTATCAAGACCTAGCCTGTCGGGGCACCTCAGTGGCTCAGTGGGTTGAGCCTCTACCTTCAGCTCAGGTCATGATCTCAGGGTCCTGGGATCAAACCCTGCCTGGGGCTCTCTGCTCAGCAGGGAGCCTGCTTTCCCAACCCTTGCCCACCTCTCTGCCTACTTGTGATTTCTCTGTCAAATAAATAAATAAACTCTTTAAAAAAAAAAAAAAAAAAAAAGACCTAGTCTGTCAATGACATTTAGAGGCAAGGCGGCACCTGGCTGGCTCAGTCAGTGGAGTGCATGACTCTTAATCTCGGGATTGTGAGTTCAAGCTCCACGTTGGGCACAAAGCTTACTTGGGGGGAAAAAAGAGGAAGGGGTAATCCTGCTGACATGGACCACATCCAAACATTAAAACAAAACAGAACTACATGCCAGTCTGCGATCAGTCACAAGACTGATAAGCACTTTCCTAATAATTTCATACACATTCTGTTTCTCCACAACTACAAACTACTTTCAAACAGAAAATGGTAGCTTTACAGAGGACAAACCTCACAGACACCAAGGGATCCAAGGTAACATTACCAACCACAGGGCCAACAGACACCACGTGACCCCGAATGTGGCACCCAGAGGACACATGGCTTATGGAATGATGAGAAATCAAACACAAATTGAAGGACATCTTACAAAACAACTGGCTTGTTCTCTTTAAAAATGTCAAGGTAATGCAAGGCGAAGAAAAGCCGAGCACCAGAGACATGACAGCTACATGAAGCACAAAGATCCAGGATGTGGGGGCAGAATAATACTGCTATGAAGGATATTACAATTATTAAAATTTCAGGGTATTCCACTTTTTATTTTCTTAAAGTAATCTCTATGGCCAACATGGGGCTTGAACTCACAACCCTGAGAAAAGGGGTCACATGCTCTACCGAGACTGAGCCAGCCAGGCGCCTCTACAACTGTTAAAATTTAAACATGAATTCGCGATTAAACTGTGTCAATGTTGTATTTGCTGGGTGTGACAAACACAAAAATGTGATTTTGTAAGAAAATGTTATTGTTCTTAGGAGATAACACGCTGAAGTGAGTAGGACCAAAAAGTCATGATATCTTTAACTTAATATGGAATGGTTAGCAAAAAATATGTACGTATAGAGTATCATTAAGCAAACAGGGTAAAATGTTATTAATCTGTGAATCCAGGTGAAGGGCACACAGGCGTTCACTGTACTAATCCTGTTCATTTTTCTGTAAGTTTGACTTTTTTTCATAAAAAGAAAACAACAAAACCTAGTTCCTCTTACCACAGATTTGGTATCCGTGCTATGGGATAACTTGCAGTGTTCCACTAGTCCTTCTTGATCAAAGTTCTTCTCGGGACAGTAAGGGCAAGGAAATGTGTAACGGTTTGGGACATTCCTGGAAGATGAAAGGCAGGAGAAAAAACTTCTCTGTGAGTACTTTTCCACACTTTATCCACTGTACCCTCCAAAAAAGGAGCAACATTCAGTGTGTTATGACAGGGATTCTGACAATTACTTCAGAATCAGGTCAAGTGTTGAAAGTAACAGCAGAGCTAATAAATGAAGTGAGCATCGGAGCCCTCCACACCCCACCCCCAAAACAAAAACTGACATCAGGTGTAGCCAGGTTAGCAATTATACCTCCACTTTCCCAAACTCCTACAATGAAACCCTTGAACATGCCAAGTGTCCACTGTTCTCATAGCAACAGCTGACCTCTGCCCAAGGGAGTGTTTTGAGTCATTTACCTTGGCTGAAGGGAGGCATCCTTGGTGGTGGCCTTCACACCTTCCATGATGTAATTCTGGTATTTGGAACAGGTAGCCACGTGGGCCCGGATCTTGGATAGTAAAAACTTGGACAGGAAGAATCAGAGCCCATAAGTTAGTCAGGGCCAACAGAGTCCCAAAGCAAGATCAAGATGAAAACCAGACCTGTACCACCTTGGCAAACAATCTCACCAGACTCCTGGCTATGCTGACAGGGGCTGAAAGCACATTTGTTGCAGGGTATTCGTTAATACCAAGGCTGATGTCTGACCTGCCCAATCCAGGACAACTGCTTCCACTCAAAGTAACTCTTCTACAAATTTGCTTTTATTCAAGGTATGCTCTCTGCTCACATACTCCAAACCCAGGGAAGATTTCAGTTTTCCACATAGTGTTTAAACTAGTCTCCTCACAGCAAGCCAAGAACCACTTTTGTTATGCGCAGCAGTAAAAAGTAATCATTTAAGTAAAAGAGATAAAGACCAGCAATTTTAGTTAAAATACAGAATGCCAGATAGTGATAAATGATCTTAAAAAAAAAAAAAAAAAAAAAAAAAAACCGAAATCTGAGTTTTATTTCTCTTATAAAATCTAGTCTTTGCAAGATGGAAAGAGAAAGAAAACCTAGAGGAGAATGCTTCATCACAGGTGTTCTAAAAGGAAAGAAAAAGCATAAGGAATGAAGAGGAGAGATAAAGGAAGATAAACATTTCTGGAGGTTTAGGACACTTGGAAATGCAATACAATCACTATCTTTAAAAATGGAGAAAAATCAAAAGTATACAGAAAAAAAAAAAAAAAACCCCTCATGCATGCATAAAGTAATGGGTAATTTCATTTTAATATCCTGAGTTTCAAAATTAAAGGAAACCACAAGAAAAAAAGAAAGCTTCATTATTTGAGCTCTGGCTTACCGTAATGCTCCTTTCTGTCTTACCTCCAGCTAAAGAACTTGACTTCAGACCACCAACCAAAGAGCTCTCAATTAAAAGGGATGGGAAATAGTCCTATTCAGAATGATAACCACTTGGTACCCCTAGTGTTAAATCACTCTGAAAGGAAGTAAATAAGGAATATCCATTCACGGCCATCCATACTAATGTGGTTAAAGAAATGAAACTGACATGTCTAGCAAGTGAAGTTTCATTAAGTGAAAAAATTTTTTTAAAAAGTGAGAAAAAGTTCTAGAATTATATAGTATGCTCCTATTTTGTGAAATTCCTACACAGGTGTTTGTAAAAACCTTACGTGTATTTGTCAAAGTACAGAAAATGTTTTGCCCTTCTAAATTAAATCACTTTTCAAGAGGTAATCTCTGGAGTAAGGAACAAACCTACATTATTTTGTGTTTGTACAGTCCAAAATAAACAAAATCATGATTTCAAAACCTATAAGGCTATATCTCTTAGGAAATAAAACAGTAGTATTTCTCCTTTATATAGATGGTGAAATAAATACATCTGATTCTAATACGATTATACAAAAGAGCATGGATGCATTTCAAATGTTAAGTATTGCTCTTACAATCACGTAATTTCATAATGACCTTTATGTCATGATCTCTCCCTATCAAGTACTAAAAAACTTCAAGTATCTTTTATGTCCATAATGATACAGATTGTAACATCTCCCCTTAAACTCATGACAGCAGGTAGCTTTTCTGAGATGCTGATCTCATTTTATATTTAAAAAAATTAAGAAATAGCATCCTACCATTATACCCATAATGCTTTGGGGAAAGTGGCTCTTTTATAGGGGAAGAAACTGGGATAACTCACTCCTATGGTTTTCAAAGCTACAATATATGAATACACTAAACGAACTCTTAAAAAAAAAACAAAGTAAAACCAATATGGTCACTAAAATGAAACCGCACAGCCATTGCCACTGATAACTAGCATGCACACGTGCTGTTAGTCACCTAGTCGAGCTCTAACTTCAGAAACAACGTGGCAACAGCTCTGCGTTTTACCCCCTCTAGTCACAAAAAGACACTGACTCTTCCATTTTACTTCCACATACATTTTTACGGCAGCCATGGCAAGAAGTCTCTGTGCTCTCAATCTGCCGCTCGAGCTCCGCAGCTCGGACGCCAGGGGCCAGAGCGCTGCGACACACCCCACAGACAGGCTTCTTCGGCTTCAGACATTCCTGCAGGCATGCAGAGCAAAAGCTAGAACAAGACACACAGAGAACCAGCGTCATGCATTGTGGAGACAAGACAACAAAAATGGATCAACTTTTAAAAAGACATCAATGAATAATGGATTATAAAAACATATTGCTCCCTCTTCCTGATTCAGATACTGAGTCCTCCCAGACCAGAAAGGGGTGGGGGGAGTGTCCTGCCAAAAACACACAGGTCCACCAACAGAAACAAACACAAACTGTCAAGACACACAGTGAAAGGTGTTGTGGCACAGTCTTCACACCTTAGCACTGGCCACTGAGGGATCTTGGTGGGATTTCCTGAACCTCAGTTTCTCCTCTATGAAATGGGGATGGTGGTAGCCACCTCTGGGATTACTGGGATGGAATACATGCAGCAGAGCCTCAGTCCAGTGTCAAGCACCACAAACAGGAGGCACTATCCTTAGAGGTGAAGGCAAAGCTCTATGAGAAGACGAAGACAAGACCACCTCGCTGTGACCCAAGGAGGACAGGGCTGGTAAGTCTTCAGAGGCAGCATTCACGAAAGAGCTTTAAAAAGAGCTCAGCTGGCAGAGGTAAGTAAGAATATTCCAGGCACTTAGACTTAAAAATTCATGAGGCACCTAATAAAAGTCTAACCCCTTTCCTCATAAACAGTAGGAACCCAGATGTTTAAAGATATCAACAAGGCCAAGTCCGAGTTTTAGAAAAATAGCTGAGGTTATCATGGATGAGAGTTGTTGGTTTTCAATTTTTTTTTTTTTTTTTTAAAGATGAGAAAAGACAGGAGCCGTGAAGTAGAAACCAAGCAGATGGCTAAGGCAAGGAATTCTAATGGCCTAAGGCAACAGAGAATTAACTCAGGAAATGATTCAGAGTGGAGTCAGTAGGACTTGGGAACTCACTGAATTTGGAGAAGAAAAGTCAAAGAAGACCAAGTTTCTATGCTGAAAACTATGCAGGGAGTGATGGTGAGTGGTGGTACAGAGAGAGGATAATACTGCATGAAAACAGCCTGGCTACATACCCAACAGTTAAGGTAAGATAACAAAACCCACCAGGAAGAACTCAGGAAAGCTAACCTGTGCATTGACAAATTTTTACTGTCTCTAAGGATTTTCTTCCTTTTTGTCATAAAACTAGATGTTAACACTGCCACACAAAACAGACCAGTCTGGGACAGGATGAGTCTAGTGATTCACCACTGAGAGCACAGTGGAGAAGTAAACAAAATCCGTGTCTTCTTGATGCTTATATTCCAAAGTGGAGAAAGACACAAATGTTAATTCTGACAGCGATTACGTACAGGAAGGAAATAAGACGAGCAGAGATCAGCCGAGGTGGATGATACTGAGCTTCTTTAAGGAGGCGATCTTTGAGCTAAGATATTTGAGCTAAGAGGAGGAGACAGTCACCCAGACGTGGACACAAAGAGTTCCACAAAGAAATTATATATGAAGTACAAAGGGAGTTCTACAAAGCAGAAAGGGAGCCCTCTGGGACCATGATGGGTAGACCACCGGGAGAGGGCAAGTGGTTAGGTTGGAGAGACAGACAGGGCCTTGCAGGCACCATTTATTGTAACTCTTCGCAAAGGCAGATCACAAGAGGAACCCAAGAGAGCAGAGGTCCCAGAGAAACCAAGCCCAGCTGATAGAAAAAAGCAGCTTCAAGCCTTCAAGCACACACCAGGATACAGCTCACTGACCAAACATTCACCAGCCACTTTGTGCCTGAGTCATGCCCACCATGCAAGCCTGCTTTTCAACAGTCCCCGAGTCTTGGGCTTGCTTTTGGTTTCTCTTTCCTTTTTCACAGGTCTTGATCTAGTTCAGCCTTCTCTTGGGCTTCCAGCCACCTGCCCTTCTCCAGGTATATTCCACTTAATTGGAGAGACACAGTCATTCATGGCCTGAAATAAAGTTTTATAAAAACTCAATGCCTCACCCAGCAAAAGCTACAATGATGCTGGTTTCCAAGCAAGAAAGTTAGCAAAAATCTGCTACTAACTAGGCTGAGCAATAAAGCACTTGGCTGGAACTAAGGGGGACTTGTACTGCCCTCACAGAGGTGCATCCATCTGTCTTTAATCAGCACGAACTGATGAACACATGGAACCAGGATGGTGAGTACAGAAAAGAGCCAAGAAACCCAGTACTGCCCCTTGACCTCTGACCTAAGGGCTCAAGGAAATCTCAACTTCTGCTGCTCTTCCATCGGTGAACTGTGCTGGGTCAAGCCTCTTAAGAAATATTAATTGTGAATGAAATCCAATGAATTAATCCAAAATCAGGCAAAAGTAGTGAGGACTGATCCAAGGAAAAGATGACTCAATGAGAACACTATCCAGCCTCCACCACCAATTTCTTATGTCATCCATCCATTCATTACCTGATCACTCCCAAACACACCAGTTTGATCCCTATAAGACCCTCCCACTGCATACTGAATTTTCACAATAGTTTTAACACTTGTTAGCCTAATTTATCATCAATTCACTGAATTGTAAACTTTGAAGGCAGAATCACCTTGTTTCTTACTATGCCCCCAAGAACCTGGCACATGGTGGGCATACAAATATTTTAGTGTGTTGAATGTAAAACTGGAAGATGGAAGCTCAGACACTCTGCCAGGCACTGGGGATACAGAAAGGGGCAACAGAGATATGGTCACTGCCCTCATGATCCCTAAGTCTGGCTCTCCGCAAGGAAGAAGGGGAGGAAGGAAGTGCCGGGAGTGAAGCAAGGAAGTAATTTAAGTAGGAATGATGATAAGGGAAGTTAAACTGGGACTTGAAGTCCGGAAAGGATTTGGGGTAGCTGACAGGGGAAGTGCAGATGGGGCAGGAAGCGTTCCAGGCTAACTGAACCGCAAGTGGGAACAGCCTAAAGCTAGAAAGAACTTATTAGAGTACCTGAAGAAGCAAAAAGCAGTCAGTGTGGCTGGGGAGCCCTTACCAGGTGCCAAATTATTTTCTGGGCTGGCAAGCAAACACCTGCAGTTCATCTGGGAAGAGTTAGACAATGGTGAGTCTGCCCTACGTAAGCCTCAGTCCCCTCACCTGCAAAATGGCTGTCAGCCCTCTTCCCCTGCAGTGCTGCTGGAGGAGGAAAAATACCTGTGGCCCAGCAGGAGCCTGTTGTGTCTACTCTCCAACAACGATGTCCTAAAACCAATGCCAAGGTAATGCCCAAGATAAGCACTGTGGGAGGCCACTGAGGAAAAGCCAACACCCAGCAGCAAGAAGTAGCCACATTTCCTACAGTTCTTTCAGCTTAGGTGTTTTTATGTCTGATGGAGCAAGGCTTAGATTCAAATCCCGCAACGTCAAGGCACATAGCCCAGCCCAAAGTCTGTACTGGTCACCTTCACACCCCTCTCCTGGAGCGTCACAACCAATGCATCAGCAACCATATGCAGGCCCCGGAGGCTCAATTTCAAACAAAATGCAGCAAAGCCCGTACACAAGTAGGAATACTAAAAGAGCTTTCTGCAACTCCCAACCCCTTCCACAGTTAATGGCAGACCGGTGAAATCTATTACCAAGACTTCCCTTTTGTTCTTTTAGTCTACGTCAGCGTTTTTCCAACTTCAGTGCACATTCGAATTACTTGGTAGAGCTGGATACACGACGCCATACGTGTACCATACTTTAGGAGCAATGCACAGATTATTCAAGAGAAACCGTGACTGTCCAAGGTCCAAAGTCCGACTTTATTTTTTTAAGTAAACTCTACGCCCAACGTGGGGCTCGAACTGAAGACCCCAAGATCATAAATCACACGCTCTACCGAATGAGCCGGCCAGGAGCCCCACCAAGGGCCCACCTCAGACCCTACCTAATCCCCAGCAGGGTGCGACTCCACTATCGCGGGTGAGGAGCCTGACAGGCCGCCTGGAACACAGCAGGCGCTCAACAAACCGCGGAATACTTGGAAGCGAGAAGAGCGCCCCGCCGACTTCCACCGACCTTCAGGTGCCCGGAGGGCCCGGGGAAAAGAACCCTCTAGCCCGGTCCTAGCGCTTCCGCCCCAGACACTCCCCGCCGCACCTCTCCTAATCAGGCTGCCCCGCGACCGGACCCCGGCTCGCCCCTTACACGTGACCGCAGGGCACTTGCACCGGCTTCTCGTACACCTCTAAACACACGGGACACGTAAAGCGGCCCAGCGGGTCGGCCTCCGCTGCGGGCCCAGCCAGCTGCGCACCACCCTCACGGTCCTGCTGTTGCGCCGCCATCTTCCTGCCGCGCAGAGCGGCGCAACGGCGGCCGAGAAGGAGGAGCCCGGGGGGGGCGGGGCGAAGTACCGGGCTAGCGCGCGCTTGGGGCGGGGCTTGCGGCCAGCCGGGGCGGGGCAAAGGCGGGACCCTGGGCGGTGAGAGGCGCTCGGGGCGTGGCTTGTGGAAAGGGCGCGTGGATGGGATGGGACTTGTGAGTGGGCCACGCCTCCTGTCCCAGTCTCCTCTCCTCCTCCCTCGCCTGCCCGGACTGACGGGAGGAGGGCGAAGCCGAGGGAAATGTGGAAAATACGGCAGTCAGAACCAGACACCTGCAGAACTGGAGCAGGCTCTGTGTTTCAGCCACTGTTTCCTCAATTTAAATCATTACAATTACTTAATATTTCATCCCAAATTGACTTACCTTTGGTTTAAACTTAGGCAAACACATTTCGTTAAAAAAATTGGGTTTTTTAGGCAAACAAATTTTAAAGGGAGATCTATCACTCCCTGAGCTACGAATAGAAAATAATCATTTATTTCTAAGAGCAATGTAAAAATACAGTGGAAACAAGACAGCATTATTAATTCATGCCGGTTACTCTTGACACTGAAAAGGGAGCTCAGCCGTTAGGAGAGGTGTTGAAGACAGGCTATGGGCACAAACCAGCAGTGAACCAGTTGGGAAAGCAGAAGTGGGAGTCACCATGCTTTACTGCTGTGTTCACTCGCCTCCTGGCCATGGGGCCCAACTACAGCTCTGTAGAGACTGGGAAGCTGATAGTCCAAACTTCAATCTCACAAGAAGGCCCCCAGCCTGGAGCCCAGATGTTTTGAACGCCAGCTGTCTCCACTCGGTACTGCACCAACTAGGCTCTTGTGGACAGCCCATTTAAGGAAAGATACATCTTGTTCAAAGGCTGGCTCTGCTAACAACTCTAACCAGGTTTTCCTGACCAGGAAAATCAATGATCAATTAAGCTTCCATCCTGAAAGGCCCCAGAGGCCTCACAATATGGAGTCTACACAGGACAAATAAATCCTGTTTGTTAACCAGGTTAATTGAATGCAGGAGGATTGTATTTAGCTATCCACGGGGGCATCTTTTCACCAATAAATAACTTGGCATCCATATGCAGCAGCCCAAGGGGTTTACATTCTACTGTTTCTTTTTCCCGTCCCTGTGGCAGGCACTCATGCGTCTGATCTCTTCCCAACCAAATATGCCCCATCTCTCCTCCGAGGATGAGGTTTCTCTGGCAGGGGCAGAGGTGTGCCGTGTGTATTCATAAGACTTTGTGTTAGCCTTGTAGCTGCTGCCAAACTCTGGGGTAGGGGCAGGGGAGTCCCAGACCCAGGCTTCAGATGGATTGCCCCCCGTTTGGTCTCTTGAAATGAACTTACCACGACCTTATACACTTAGTTACAGAGTCAAAAGGATAGGATTGAAATATTAAGTGAACTTTTTTATGCTTATTGGTCTAAGCATTTTACATAAATAAATCCTCATTGCAACCTATGACTTTGGCTCTATTATCCCCATTTTACAGCTATGCACATTGAAGACAAAAAGATTAAATTACCTTTTGATGGTAATGGAAAATGATAGGATTTGGACACATGCAGTCTGGCTTTGGCACGTTTGCACTTAAGAGTACCTGTGTCTCAGTCACCTAAACCAATTGTGGGAGCCAACCCCCCAAGGTTCTGATGCAACAGGTCAGTGGAGGTAGAGGGTAGGGCCAAGGATTTGCATTTCTAACAGTTTGTGTGGGGTTTGTTTTTTTTGTTTTGTTTTTTTTTAAGATTTTATTTATTCACAAGTAGGCAGAGAGGCAGTCAGAGAGAGAGGGAACAGGGTCCCCACTTAGCAGAGAGCCCAACTCGGGACTTGATCCCAGGACCCCGAGATCACGACCCGAGCCGAAGGCAGAGGCTACAACCCACTGAGCCACCCAGGTGCCTCTCTAACAGTATTCTAGGTGAGGCTGATGCTGCTGCACCAGGAGCCATACTTTGAGAACCACTAGCCTTCTCTACCCTCCACCCCCTCATGCCCCGACCCCCATCAGTGCCCAACCAGCCTGAATATACTCCACCCTTTCCTGTTTTTTCTAGGCATTCCCAATGAGAATGTCCCCATGATCCCTTCTCAGCTTGCAAATACACTGCCAGTCCACATCACCACACCCAATACTCAGCCGCAATCAACCTAATAATGTGTGTTAAATGAATGAAACTTTCCCTTCTCAATGTTCTTAAGGAAACTATTTCCCACAACAGTCTCTCCCTGTCCTTTAGCTTTGGTCAGCCTCTCTCGGACTGCCCACATCATCTAAGATCTGCTGTGAGCCTGGAGTGGGGAATCGGTCAGGCTCAACGTTTTTGCAGACTTGATTTTTCTGCCAGTGTAGACTCATACATCCAGGCAACAAAGAGTCCCTGAGGGCTTCCTGTGTGCCAGGTCCTCGGCAAGGTTCAGAGGAGAAATATGGGATCTCAAATTGGCAGTGACAGATGGTTTAAAATGTTACTCAACGGGGGCGCCTGGGTGGCTCAGTTGTTAAGCGTCTGCCTTTGGCTCAGGGTCATGATCCCAGGATCCCGGATCAGCCCCCGCATCAGGCTCCATGCTCAGTGGGAATCCTGCTTCTCCCTCTTCCTGCTTGTGTTCCCCTGTCCCGCTGTGTCTCTTTCTGTCAAATAAATAAAATCTTAGGGGCGCCTGGGTGGCTCAGTGGGTTAAGCCTCTGCCTTCGGCTCAGGTCATAATCTCAGGGTCCTGGGATCGAGCCCCACATCAGGCTCCCTGCTCAGCGGGGAGCCTGCCTCCCCTTCTCTCTCTCTGCCTACTTGTGATCTCTCTCTGTGTCAAATAAGTAAATAAAATCCTTAAATAAATAAATAAATAAAGTCTTTAAAAAAAAAAAAAAGGATCCTGGGATGCCTGGGTGGCTCAGTTGGTTAAGCAGCTGCCTTCGGCTCGGGTCATGATCGCAGCGTCCTGGGATCGAGTCCCACATCGGGCTCCTTGCTCGGCGGGGAGCCTGCTTCTCCCTCTGCCTCTGCCTACCACTCTGTCTGCCGGTGCTCATGCTCTCTCTCTCTCTCGAACAAATAAATAAATAAAAAATAATAATAATAAATAAATAAATAAATAAAGGGTCCTAAGGAAAATTGCAGGGAGAGCTCCCTGCCCTTGTGTGAGATGACCCAGTCACACTGTGCCCACACTCCTCACCTACAGAAACTGAGATAATCCACATGTGTTGTTTAGGCCACTAAATTTGTGGCCATTTATTCCGCAGCAACAGACAATACAATCTCCTGAGTGGGCAATTTGCCTATAATTGTCTACATTACAAGAACATATACTCTTATTTTTTCTATTTTCAGAGCTTTATCCCTAGGGCCTGCGCCATCCAATATAGTGGCTATTTAAATGTAAATACATTTAAAGACAAAACTAGAGAGTCAGTTCCTCTGTCTCACTAGCCCTATTTCCAGAGCTCAAGAGCCACACGTAGCTAGGAGATACGTACGCACTGGACATAGCAAACACAGAACATCTCCACCACCACAGAAACTTCTGCTAAGGACCTGCTCACAGGTGTGGCACACAAGCAATTTTGAGCTTTAAATACTTAAAAGCTGGGGTGCCTGGGTGGCTCAGTTGGGTAAGTGGCCAGCTCTTGGTTTCATCTCAGTTCATGATCTCAGGGTCCTGAGATCAAGCCCCATGTCTGACTCCACGCTCAGCAGGGAGCCTGCTCTAGCATTCTCTCTCTCCTTCTGCCCCTCTTCCCACTCTCTCTTTCTGAAATAATTAAATCTTTTAAAAATACATACATATAGGGGGGCACCTGGGTGGCTCAGTGGGTTAAGCCTCTGCCTTCAACTCAGGTCATGATCTAAGGGTCCTGGGATCGAGCCCCACATCAGGCTCTCAAGCAGGCTTAGCAGGGAGCCTGCTTCCTGCCTGCCTCACTGCCTACTTGTGATCTCTCTCTGTGTCAAATAAATAAATAAATAAATATTAAAAATGAATAAAAAAAATAAAAATCACCTTTAAAAAAATACATACATACATACATACATACTTAAACGCTATTTCAGGCCTACCTCTTAGAACTGTACCAAATTTTTGGACACCTTGTAAATTCCACATACAAATCCTTTATCAGATCTATGTACTATAAATATTTCTTCCCAGTCTGTGGCTTGCCTATTCATTTTCTTAGCTGTGTCTTTCTTTTTCTTAATGCCACATCATAAAACTTATTATGGAAGATTTTAAACAAATATGAAAGTAAAGCGAATAGAATGATGTATTTATATATATCTGTTGCCCAGCTTTGTTAGTTACAAATCATGATGAGTTTTATGTGTTCTATACCCTCATCAAATCCTCCCTTCACCCACCACCTGCCTTATTTTGAAGCAAACTTTATCATCTTTTGATGAGCAGAAAATTCTCATTCCTATAAGGTCTAGCCTATCCTTCCCCCACTCTTTTATTGTTAGGGTTTATATGCTTAAAAAATCTTTATCTACCCGAGGTTGCAAAGATATTCTCCAACACGTTCATTTAAGAAGTTTTGTAGTATTAGGGCGCCTGGGTGGCTCAGTGGGTTAAGCCTCTGCCTTCAGCTCAAGTCATGATCTCAGAGTTCTGGGATCGAATCCCACATCGGGCTCTCTGCTTGGCAGGGAGCCTGCTTCCTCCTCTCTCTCTCTCTCTCTCTACTCTCTCTCTCTCTCTCTCTCTGTGCCTACTCGTGATCTCTGTCAAATAAATAAAATCTTTAAAAAAAAAAAGAAAAGAAGTTTTGTAGTATTAGATTTTATGTTTAAAGCTATGATCTGTCTTGAATTAATTTTTGTGTGTAGTGTGATAAGTGGATCCAATATTAGCTTTTTCTGATGGCTATCCTGTTGTTCCAACACCGTTCATTGAAAAGTCCACTCTGTGACCCCAAATTTCACTAAAGAAAAAATTTAGGTAAAATTCACAAATTTTACCCAAAAGATATGTAAACAC